TACTATATATAATATAAATATATTATAATATGATATATAATAATAAAAAATATATATCATTTAATATATAATATTAAATATAAATTTATACATGTAAATATATCTATAAATATAAATATATAAAATAAAAGCATATATCTAAGCACACAACCAGGTACCTGGGGAATAATTTATTTGGTGCAGTTGATGGATACTCTTGGCTGGTACAAAATTAAGAGACAAGAACCTTAAATTTTCAAATATTTTAAACTATAAAAATTGATCATATAATGCCCTGAAGTTAAAGCCTTGGAACCTTCAATTAAAAGCACATCTTGTCAAAAATAAATAAATAAATAACCTTTCTCCATCTGTTAGGGCCGAACGTTCACCTATACACTCGACAATTATTTAATAAGCACCTCCTGTGTGCTAGGATGTGGGGATTAAAAGGTGAATGAAACAAATCTCCTGTACTCAGGAACCTCACAGTCCCAATCCTTGATTTTTTTCTGAAATGTTTAAAATAGTATCAGCTAATTGAAAAGAAATTCTACTATCTCCTCAGGAAGGGGGGAATAAAAACATTCACAGGGTATTGCCACAATGTTGAAAGGGAGAAAAGCAGTTGGATCTGGCGCCCTGCCATTTTATCGTCTGTTTCATGTCAATTAACTTGCACTGAAATGCTTCACCTAACTTCTCAATTTTTTATTTTATTTTTCTTTCTTTCTTTTCTTTTTTTTTTTTTTTAGACATGGACAGATAGATGTAAGAGGTGTAGAGCTCTAGACTCACGGTGTTCTCAATGCTTGTCTTTGGGATAACTGGTCTTTTTTTTGATGAAGATTGGCCCTGAGCTACCATCTGTTGCCAATCTTCCTCCTTTTTCCCTTTTTTCTCACCAAAGCCCCAGTAGATAGTTGTATGTCATAGTTTACATCCTTCTAGTTGCTCTATGTGGGACGCCGCCTCAGCATGGCTTGATGAGCGGTATGTAAGTCCATATCCAGGATCTGAAATGGGGAACCCTGGGCCACTGAAGCAGAGTGAGACCTTAACCACTACGTCACTGGGCTGGACCCTATTTTTCTTTCTTTTTTGCTCATATTTTCCTATTTATTAGGTTCAGTTTATTGTTGTTTTTGTTTTTATTTGTCTAGAATATAACCCAAAATAGAAATACTTATTTTTATATCTTTCAGAGTTAAACAGAAGGTGGCCAGCTATTATCAAGCTACATTGAAGACAGGAAAAAAAATGAACAAACAAAAAACTTGACATTTACAAAAATACAAGAATGAAAAGTGGCCCTCTTCATAGGGGTGGTTTTTCTTGAAGACAGATAGAAACACCTACTGGACAACCTCAGAGAAGCTCTAGGGGCATAATTTTCTGACCAGATGCAAGAGGTTACATTTTCTTACTATGAAAAAATATATTTTCTAAAATTCCAAATATACCATTATAACTCACATTATCACTATTTATCTTTAAATAATTTTTGAGATTTAAATTGTCAAAGCTTTTAAAAGCTGTTTTGTGCTCATGCATTAAATGTTGCCAATGTTTGTTTAAATAAAAGCTGTAAAAATTATTCTTTACAGATTAATGTAGAAGACTGGTTGCCATTCTTGGGAACTCAGATTCTATTTTCAATACTTGAGATATATGAGATATTCACCTGAGGTAAGGCTCCACAGGATAGGTACAAAACATCAAATCTCTTTGCTTTGACTAACGTGACATTAAGTCACATACTTGGGTACTGTGGTTTTCAGTTACACATGTCTTATTTAAATATATTTAATTACTTTTTGCATATATAATACATTCACATGGCTAGAATCAAAACAAGATAAAAGATACACAGTGAAATGTCTTCCTCCCAGCCCTAATCTCATCCATCCCATCCATACCCCTACTCTGTTCCACATAGGTAACCACTTAGGTTGTTTTCTTGTATATCCTTTTAGTGTAATTTTTATGCAAATATAACTATAGATTCTGATTTCTCCCCTTTTTATACAAAAGATAGCATACCATAAACACTAGTCTGCATTTTCTTATTTCACTTTACAATACATCCTGTGAATCTTATTGTATTCCATTGTGTACATGCATCATAGTTTATTTAACCAATTCCCTGGTAATGAACACTTGGTGGTTTCCCATCTTCTGCTGCAATGAATCTTGTTGTGTATGTAATTTTGTTTCTATGCAGATATATCTGTAGGATAAAATCCCAGCAGTGCGCAGGCTGTTATTTTGATAACTATTACCACACTGCCCTCTATAGGGAATATACCATCTTACACTCCCACCAGCAATGTATGAGGCCCAGTTTCCCCACAGCCTCACTAACTTGATTTTTCTAAATTAAAAATAAACTTTAATTTATAAAAGTAGTTAGCTTGTTAGATAAATACTCAAAACAATGGGCTAATGGTGTGTGGGGGTGGGGGTGGAGAGATAATAAAACAATCCTTAAATTAAAAAAAATTGGAACATTTGGTACAGAGGAATAGGGACTTAAAATATGTTTTACTCACCCGTCCCTTAATTTTTTCAGTCAGGAATGGTTTAATCATGGAAAAGACAGCATCAAAAATTATTGGCTCATTTATCAAATGGATACCACGAACTTTTAATGGAAAGGAATCCTTTTGAAAATAAAAAATAATCTTATTAATAACAAAGCAGAGGTCAATATATATTCCTATTGACAAGTCCGTTCTCTTAACACTTGCTAAACTTACAGCAGTACCTGAAGTGTGATTTTATTTTCAAAATTGTTTATTCTGTCAATACAGTAGCCTGCTTTATAGTTCACTGTCACTAGATTAAGAAAAGACCTGTGGAAAGGTTTCACTCTGTAGCTTAGGTGAAGTACTTTAAGAAATACCTGCATCTTTCATAAATAAGACAGGAAATATCTTCCCCAATCACACATCAATGTTCTTTTCAAGAACAATGAGTCTTTTTGATATTTACATTTAAACTTTTCCCCCAATTTTTTTATTTTGAGAAAAAGATCAAACTTTCATAAAAGTTGAAAGAATAGTACAATAAACACACACTTTTAAACTTTTGACACAGGTATAAGTCTTTCACAACAAAGTAATACAGGCTTATGTCGAAGGTTTAAAAAGTTAAGAATTGAAAGAAAAACCCCATCAATAGTTTCCCTACCCAAAGATGTCTTGTTAATATAAAGACTTTTCCTGCTGAAGTTCTTTCATGCAAAATTCTTTTTGCATTCTATGCATAGCTTTTAAACATGTGTTATCAATTTGGGGCTTTTCCTTCCAGGTTCTTTCTATGAATATTTTTATTTTAAACATATTTGCTAATATGCTGTCTAAATGATTTGTACCATTTTGTTTCATTGATATAATACAATTTTTATAAACATTATGAATTTTAACATTGTTGCAACAATCCATCACATGGATTTACCATAATTTAAGTAACCATTTTCCTATGTCTGGACAAATAGCTATTTCTAATTTTATTCTAAAAAAATTCATGCTATAGTAACTATCTTTATCTATAAAAGGCAATGGTGGTTGTAAGTGCAACTTTTACATTCAGATGACCTGGCCTGAAATCCCCACTTCACTGCTGACAAAATGTGTCTGCTTGGCCATTGCTATGTCACCTCTTTGACATAACTAATTAATTTATAAAAAGGGGAAAAATAATAGTCATATGTCGTCATAGGCTTCTGTGGCCATTAAGCAGTAAGCACTTGAAACATTTAGCACAGTACCTGGCACATAGTAAGCTATTATTATTACATACAAAGTCTCTACTATATCTAAAATTATTACTTGGCTAGGTTCCCAAAAGTAGAATTACTGGGCAAAGATGATGGCCATTTTAAAAACTTTTTGATTTCTGAAAGAACTGTATCAATTTACAGCTACCAAGACTTATGTAAATTTTATTGTACCATTGCTACAAATATTGTTTTTTGAGTCAATTTTTTAATTTAGGAAGAAAAAATTAATAACAGAAAGATAAAGTCACCACATTATTGTTTAAATGTATAAATTCTGTGGTTACTAATTTTGAACATTTTCACAGTTTGCTGCAACAGTCTTTCTTTTATAAACTAATAATACTTTACTTCCTCTTAGCATTTTTGAACTCTATATATCATTTCTAAAACTTCATTTAATTTTTAATAAATGTACCCTCCCTTCTCTTTGTCTAACAGATAACTGAATTTAAATCGCTTATTTGCAATTATCATCGCAAAGAGTTAAAACATACACTTACTGTAAGAACAGCAGCAATCTTCTTGGCCACAGATGGGGTAATTTGAAAAGCATGAGAAAACTGCCAGCCTTCTAGATCAAAGATGGCCTTGATACCATTCCGCTGCGTTTCTAGCTCCTGTACAATAAGCTCGGATGTGATCAGACTTACACGAAACACATCATAAGCTGTGAAAACTTTTGGGTCCCAGTGTACTAAAAAAATAAAAAATAGCAAATCTCAGCATTGTATAGAGAATCACAGAGACTTACAAAGGGAGACCAACTCTTTTTAGACCTAAACGATCAGTAGAAATAAAAACAAATACAAAAATCATGACTTGAATAATAGATCAAATTGATGGTCCAAGAATGCGTGCCTGCTCCTCCCTCCCTCCTCAGATCCCTAGCAAAGAATAGATTTTTAAGAGCATGAGGGAAAAAAAAGAATGAATATAGGCTGGATTTGATTGCCATATGAAACTACAGCCCAAAACATGCAAGAGAGTGCTGTGGCTAAAGATGGGAATGCCTCTGGGTAGGCTCCAAAGTGAGAGGTGTTGGAAATGGGAAAAGCAAGGGCCTGGATTAGGAAGAGTATCTAGGACCCTACCGTAACCAAAGAGGTTGCTAAGCAAAATGCATGAGGAGCAGACAGGGGGCTGATCTCTCTGACATCTCTCAGTCACAAGCAGCATGTAGCAGCCATGTCCATATAGGCTAGAATGCTAAGCGTGGGCTTTGGAAAGCAGCGTCAAGGCAGCACTCAGGCAGCTGCCCACACCCAGGAAAAACAAGAAGTACCTGTGCTAGGAAGAGGAGTTGGTAATCTTAAAAAAAAAGTATGCATCCATTAAGAATTATAATATTTTTAAAAACACACACAAAGAAGAGAGGAACCAAACTCAATAGAGAAAGGCACTAAATCCAAGGAAACAGTTAATAAAGAAAGAGACATTAAAAGAAGCGAAATAGTTTCAGTGGGGAAAAAAAAGATACTGTAGTCTATTATTATAAGAAGACGCTCTTATTAAAAAGAATCATTTGAGATCTTGGAAAACTTAAGCAAATCTCAGTCGATGGGACAAATGACAGAAAAGACACAGCCAATGAGTGAATATTGGTTTGGAACATCAAGCTGAGCAATTCCCTCAAACTCAGCACAAAAGAGCCAAGAGTTGATATGTATGAATAAAAAGTTGAGAGACATGTAGCTAGCTCCAGAAGTTTCAACATCCAACTAATTAGAGTTCTGCAGGGCAACAATACAGACACTAGGGAACAGAAGAGAGAGGAATAGTCACAGTAGAGAAAAATTTTCCAAAGCCAAAAAAAAGATGCAAGTCTTCAGATTGAAGGTTCCATGGAGTGCCTAACAAGACAAATGAAAAAGGGTAAAACAGATTCATGACTAAGTAACAGTAAAATTTCAGTAAACCAAAGTTTCTGGCTTAGACAACTGGGTAGAATGATGGTACCATTTATTGAGATAGGAAACACTGGAAGAGAAATGTTTTGGGAGGAAAAGATCATACATAGTTCTGGACATGTTGAAATTGGTGACTGTGAGACACCTAGTTGCATACAGCGGGAATAGGGAGCCGGTTGTATGGATCCTTGGGGACAAAGAGATGATGGGGTGAAGACACAAATCTGAGAGTTGTTTGTGCTTATATGACAGCCTACGACAGCAATTATCTTAGATCTATGTTTATCTTTGTTATAGTAGAGAGATAAAGTAGCATAAGAAGAGGAAGCTAAGGCCAATGTCCTAAGGAATTTCAGAATGTAAAGGGTGAGTATACTAGGTGGTGCCAGCAAAGGACACTAACTGAGAAGGGGCAGCCAGTTAAGTTGGAGGAAAACCCTAGGAGAATGTGGCATCAGAGAAGCCAAGCGGAGAGGATATCTCAAGAAAGGAAGTGGTTTGCTGTGTGGAGAGGTCAAGTAAAACGGGACTAAACGTGTCCATTAGATTTGGTGAAAAGAAGGTCGCTGATGATTTTTACGGTCATTTCAGCAGAGAGGTGGGGATGAAACCAGATCAGGGTGGATTGAGAGGAACTGTGAGAAAATATGGATGGTGAACATCACTGATTTGCGAAGTCTGGCTGAGAATGAGAGGAGTGGGGAGACAGCTGGAGGGTCTTGTGGGATGGAGGAGGAGCTTTTGTTTTGTTTTAGATGGCTGACCCTTAACACATGTAAATATTAACGGGTAGTGTCTATAGCAAGGAAAAATTTGAAGGTATAGACAGAGAAGAAATATTCAGAAGTATTAGGGAAGGCAAAATGAGATTGCCCTTTGTTTTTTAAAAGCCTCAGATTCCTGGTAAGAATTTGAGTAATCAATCCATGGATAACCCAGCTCAAATATACTATACTACTTCAGACATTGGCTGAGAGCTACAATGATGAAAAACATGAGGAGAACAACTGAAAGTCTGCAGTTCAGAAAACAGTTACTGACCTAAATTTCTGAGCCTACCACCATGGTTGTCTAGACCGGTGTTGTCCAATACAGTAGCCATTAGCCACGTGTGGCTATTTAAATGTAAATTAATTGATTCAATTAAATAATTAAATAAAATTAAAAATTCAGTTTCTTGGTTACAATAGACACATTTCAAGTGCTCAACAGCCACTAGTAGGATGGTGGCTACTGTAGAACAATTTCATCATCATAGCCAGTTCTATTGGGTAGTGCTGGTCTACACTCTATGCTCCTTTAAGGCAAAAGGAAAACATGTTAATTTTCAGTTCCTTTTCCAGCATATATCTAACATTTATTGAGTACTTATTGCATACCAGGTAATGTTCAAATTATATATTTTATACATGTTACAAGATTTAATACTCAGCAGCAACCCTATGAGATAGGTTTTTACTATGCCCATTTGACAGATAGAAAAATGGAGTTACAGCAACACAGCTAGACCATACAGCAGAGCTGAAATTCCAACCCAGGCAACGGCCCTAGAACTTGCATTCCTAAGAACTAAGCCACGGTCAAAATTTAACACTCACTGTTAAATTTTACTTTTGCTGCTGTAGCATAGTAGTAAGTCTCAAAAGGCATAAAATTACATCCTCTGGCTTGTCGGCTAATAATGGCAGAAACTTACTTTCACCTTGGGTTGTCCTGCTGAACTGGAGAAAAAGGCTCGGTGCATTTTCTCATTGCTTTTACTGCACAAGAGATTACCGAGGAAAGGTGATTATGCTAGCATTCTACCAAAAACCTCTACTACAGATGTCCTTGTTTAGTTCCTCCCATTAATTCAATTACGTTTAGAAAAATTATAAATCTTCATCCTATCCTTTCATTTTACTCATAAAACTCTTCTGAGTTTCTCCTTTTCACCCTATAATAACATAGGTTATTCTATATAACACACAGGAGATTTTTGCTGCTTACCCTCTGTTCTGACCATCACTAAACCTACATGTTTTCTTGATTTTAAAATCTCTTTGAGTTAAACAGTACACTTATAATTTAATATACTACAAGAGACCCTGGCTAGACAATAGAAGACTATCAATTCAGTGTTAAGGTGTTTCTGATTAAAGTAGCACATTTGCTTTTTCACTATCAAAGTACCATGTTTACTTCTTAACTTGCCCCAGTTAGTTTATGAACAAACTTGAAAAAACTCCCGACAGGCAGTGCAGAGCCAGGACACTTGCGGAAAGAATCATCAGTAGGTTTCAGTTTTATGCTCCTGGGACCCCTGAGTCGGGTTGCCAGATAATATATGATGCCCAGTTAAAGTTGAATTTCAGATAAATAGGATATATTTTTTAGTATAAGTATGTGCCAATTATTTGCTGTTTATCTGAAATTCAAAAGTAACTGGACACTCTATATTTTTATAAAATACAGGTTTGCTTGCTACATAAAACATAGATACTTTGCTAAATCTGGCAACTCTACCCCAAGGAACTCATGGAACTTCATTTAACATCCTATAACACTGGTGGGGCAATGAGAAGACAGAAAAGACAGTCTGATATCTGTTTTATAGGCAACGACTTCATGAATAACCCAGTTGTATGTGACACATAAGCTGGAGCAAAAAACTAGAATCATTCTACTCAGTCTTCTGATACCCTTTCAAGAATTAAATGCAGCGTCTTCTTGCAAGAAAGCAAACAGTTGAGTTACAGGCAGGTATCTTATCTATAAGCAGGCAGGAAAAGCAATTCTATAAATAATGTAAAGTTCCCTAGAATATTTACAGATGTAAAAGTTTGTGTAAGACTATAATTTATAAGATTCTGCTCATGAAATGTGAGTTATCTTTGCCCTTCCAACTGGGCCATGAGAGGATGCTGGGAGCAGTATGAGTCCTTTTCCATTATACACCATTTTTAATCACACACAAGTCTAAGGAAGGGTCAGAAGTTACAGGCTATAGGTCACCAACCTACAAGAAACACTAGGAAGACCTAATGGTGAAAAAGGGAAGCAGTGAAAACAGAGGGGCATGTGGAATTCAGTGTTGTCAACATTTCCCAGGGGTGCTGCCAAGAAGAATGAGCTCCTTGCTCCTCGGCCTGGGGCATTATCCAACTAGCCATTCATTCACTCACTCCAAAAATGTTTAACAAATACCCACCAGGTGCCAGGCCCTGGTTTCAGTGCTTGGGATATATCAGTGAACAGAACAGACAAAATCCATGTTCTTGTGGAGATTCTATGATTATAGTTCAGAATTCTTATTTGGATTTCCTACTAAGCATTTTTGAAACACTACCTTAGTCTTTTTCACCTTTTCCCCCTATTTCTCTTCTCTGTTTTCTTTTATTCTTATTTTATAAAGCTGATTGTGTGGAAGAATGGAGTTTTGGTTTTTATTAATTTTATTAATGGAGTTATAAATTATATAATTATAAAATTCATAAAATTTTATTAATTTTATTAATGGAGTTCATTGTTTTTTATTAATTTTTTCACAAGCCCGTTTTATTATATTTGGGGGGGCACTGAAATCTAAATTAAACTTAAGTTAAAATCTAAAAACCTAAATGCTTAAATATGGACACATTGAAGCTGTCTATATGGCAGTCAAGAAAAACAAAGAGGAAGAAGTGCTGTGTGTGACTTACCAATTCTATAAAGAAGAACTTTGCTGCCCGTGGGATCTCTGGCTCTCAGGACGCCCACGTAGCCAGCTTTCAGAAGGCCAAGAATACTTCTAGGATGTAGGTCTGCACTTATTTCTGGACATTCTGCTCTCCACTTATAATAGTTTTTTAGTAACTGAAAAATAAAATTAAAATTGTCTATAGATAGCATACACGGTAAGCACTTTGTAAAAATGGTAGGAAAGCCTGGCATTCCGTGTGGCCCTTGCCATCCATTATGTCAGGATTTTAATCTGGGGTGTCTTTTTAGCTGTTAAAACTAAGTTTCCCCATCAAGGATCTCAGGTGATAGGAGTTAATCACAAATTCAAAGTCGAGTAATTTTCCTTTGTCTCCTGTGGCAAATGGTCTCCAAAGATGGCTGCCAACAACTCCTCCCCTCCGGGTGTACACAGGCCATTGCTCCCATCCAGAAGTGGAATCCATCTGATTCCTTCCCCTGGAATCTGGGCTGGCCTTACAACTTGCTTTGACTGATAGAATGTGGCAGAAGTGACACCGCACTAGGTTTTAAGAAGTCTGGGACCTTCTGCTTTTGCTTTTTGGGATCTGAACAACCCGTAAGATTACTAAACGGTAAGTCTACATGGAGAGAGACCCTGGAGGATGAGAGGCCATCCTGGATAGTGTGACCTCAGCCGACTTCCCATGTGCTGCAGTGTGGAGCAGAGACAAGCTGTGCCCGTCGAGCCCTGCCCAAATTGGAGAATCACAAACAAACAGTTGTGGTTTAGGCCACGAAATTTTGGGGTGATTTTTTTACTCTGCAGTAGGTAACTCAACATCCACCTTTAGTCTTTTTTGAAATAAGGAAGAATAGAAATCAATCAAATGAATTAACTCTACGAATATTGTTTGAACGTCTACAATGCTCCAGGCACTGTTTTAGGCCTATGAGTGACAGCTGTGAACATTAAAAAATCCCTGCTCTCCTGGGAGCTGACCTGTTGGTGACAACTGGATCCTACAGGCCATGCCATGTAGTAAGGTTCTGCTTCTTCAGAAAAACCTTGGTTCCTCCTCTTATCATCTGTGTGACCTCGGGTAAGTGTTTCACTCTTCTGAGTCTCATTTCCTCAATATCTGCCTTGGAGGGTCATGTGTAAAACGCACATGGGCATAAGGAGCAGTAGTTAGCGCTGCCATTCTTATAGTAGGGAACGTTATCAGGATTAATCATCCAAGTATTTAGTGCAGATTTATATTAAAAATAACTAAAATTTTTTGGGTTTTCTTTCCTACAAAAAAGAGCTAAATCAAAGATACAAAGGGACATCTCTGTACCACTGCTATACTTTTTACTAATAGAAAAACAACAAAAATCAACTTTGTTAATAGTGGGGTGCATTCAGAGAGCCTGCAGAACTGTATGCCTGGATATTAGGTCTTAGCAAAATATGGTTTGAAGGACTCTTGTTTTCTTTTTTTCCCAAAAGAACCACAAATAATGGTTACTCTGCACTTACAAATAATACAAACATTGCCAGTGTATTGTGGAGAATACTAAAATCAAATTACATATTTAAAACTTATTATATTTTAATTTTCTGCTATGATTTTCAGCATTCTCAATTTTTCTAAAATGACGATATATTTGAGTTTAAAGAGCTCTGTTAGCATGTGGAACTGAAGTTCAGATGAAAGGAAAGGACAAATTTTATATCTGAGAGTCACTGGAATGAACGTGATCACTGTGACCATAAAGCAGTAATGATCGGAGGAGAAACTACAAATACAAATTTCAAAAAATCAAGTAGAGGGTAAAATTCTGAGCCTTGGTAAGTGTCAGTGTCTGGGAATGGCTGGAGGAAGAGAGAAGCTGGTTGGACCATAGGAGAAACGGCACTATGGTGTAGAGAAGAGAGGAAAAATGTGTGTGTTGTTCTGCTCCTATCTTCTTCTCTCTCTCTGACATTGTCTCCCTCTCTTTCTCTCTTTCTGTCTTTCTCCTTCTCTTTCATTTCTGCATTTAACAGACTTTTCTTAACTGTTTAAAAAAAGAGAACACAGCTAAGAGGTAAATGCAATAGAGAGGTAAGAAAGAAAACAAGTCAGTAAATTTGCCAACAAACAAATAATTGGCGACCTAAATAGCAGATTCCAAAAGCAGTTAAGAGCAAAAGGCACATTGTAGATTCTGATATATTCATTCTACTCTATCAGATGAATTTCTCTTCTGCTTCCTGTCTTAGGGGGCATAAGAATAAGTGTTAATAGCATTTGACAGTGCTTCTTACTTTTTTGATAGTTCCCTCAGGCATAAAAATAGTCCTTTTAATTCTGATTCAAGCAAAATGCTAGAAGCAGCATATTAGCTCCTATACAGAAATAATTTTATTTTCCCATGGAACCATAAAAGTCATGGCTTCATTAAAAGGGATCTTTTAGGGAATAGAGGCAGAGCCCTCAGCTTATTCATCTCTGCAGAGTGCTAGGCACCTAGGATACAGGTACATGTGTTGAATGAAAGAATAAATTCACTCATGAGTAAACCAGCTGGATCCACACACTTGAAAAATGACTTTTGTAAAGATGCACAAATCACTCATACCTCTGACATTTAACCTTTGCAAATTGAAAGATCTAAGCCCAGGGCTTGCCCCACGGCTTAGCGGTTAAGTGCGAGCACTACACTACTGGCGGCCCGGGGTCGGATCCCGGGCGCAAACCAATGCGCCACTTCTCCAGCCATGCTGAGGCCGTGTCCCACATACAGCAACTAGAAGGATGTGCAACTATGACATACAACTATCTACTGGGGCTTTGGGGAAAAAAAGGAGGAGGATTGGCAATAGATGTTAGCTCACAGCCAGTCTTCCTCAGCCAGAAGAGGAGGATTGGCATGGATGTTAGCTCAGGGCTGATCTTCCTCACAAAAAAAAAACAAAGTTATAAAAAAAAAAAAAGAAAGATCTAAGGCTGGATCTTGGATTATTACTTTTCTACTTATAAATAAATTCAAAGGTCCAGCTGACATAAACAAATTATGTAAGTGACGGAAACTACTACTGAGCAATTCTCAAACGAACCACTGAAAGTCCACAACAAAATTGGCTGCAAGGGAATATTCATTATTGGAAGGCATCTGTTTTGTGCAAGTAGGAATAAATAAATATAAAGTTATGGTTTATTTTAACTATGCTTTGTAATAGAGCAGATTTCTTCTTACATTTTTCATGTACTTTCAAACAAAATAACGACCATATTCGGGCCCTTTTAATAGGGTTTAATGGCATCATTTCAATTCCTCCTCACAACCATGCTGAGAGGTAACTATTGTTATCCCTCTTTACAGAAAAGAAAACTAAAGCTCAGAGAAGTTACACAATTGTTTAAGGGCAATAACTCTCAGGAGCAGAAGTGGAGACTGAAACTGACATGTGATATGATACATTTTACAGGAGGGAAGTTTCATATTTAGAGGGAAATTAGCAGGGAGAGTCAACAGAGTTTTGAAAACTTTGAAGTCTTTGGGAAAACCATAAAAATAACTAAAGGATAAAAAACTTATGACATGGAGCAAAAATATAAAGAACTGGACTCCTCACTTGTGAAAGACAGGAATTCACAAAAATATGTAGGACAGAGATTTACAGTTGGTTGTTTTTGTGTTCATTGTTTTAAACAGAAGGGGCCAGAGTAGTTAGTGTACTTGAGAACACAGGCTCCCCTGAATTTCACCCAGGTTCAAATCCCGGCTCACCGCTTAGTAACTGTGATTTTGGACTACTTAACGCTTTACATCTCAGTTTCTTCTAAAATGAGAAAATACTGAGATAATCCACACAAACACTAACTACCAAAGTACCTGGCACTCCATAAACTATTAGAATTATAAAAACCTCTTTAATTTGTTATAACTTCAAATACAAAAACTAGAACAATGAGAAATTTCATTATAACTGAGGGACTTAAGCTTTCTTTATACACTAAAACTCCGGGGCTTTTATAAATAAGGGAGTTTGAGTTGAATTAACTGCCTTTGTGGAGGAAAATGACAAAATAGTTTTACATTCTAAGCTTTTCCCTCTCCTTTTTATGTTGGCAGAAAAGTCAGGCCAAGAGTTCACGGACAGAAACTTGATCCCCAGCCAGTGGATTTAGACACAGTCCTACTAGCTAATTCCTCAAGGACATGGTGCAGAGAAAACAATTCAGGGAAATAAAGGATGCAGGAAAAAAAAACAACAACAGAGGCTGGAGGTAAATTTTATTTCTTCTGTTTAGACATTACTTTTAAAAAAGCAGCTATGGGGCCAGGCCCCTGGCGTAGCGGTTAAGCGCGCGCTCCGCTGCTGACAGCCCGGGTTCAGATCCCGGGCGCGCACCGACGCACCGCTTGTCAGGCCATGCTGTGGCGGCGTCCCATATAAAGTGGAGGAAGATGAGCACAGATGTTAGCCCAGGGCCAGTCTTCCTCAGCAAAAAGAGGAGGATTAGCATGGATGTTAGCTCAGGGCTGATCTTTCTTACAAAAAAAAGCAGCTAAAATGAAATCTGTAAATCACACACACTGTTTATTGTTAGTGCCTCTCCACATATATATGTTTAATGCCTCATATAAACTGCACTCTTCATAGGATCTGAGATTGTGTCTTCACATTTAGTAGCTGCTGAGTAAATATTAGCTTATTATTCACGATGTTGGGACACCTGGGTAGTCATCTGACCAAATAAAAATAAATAAAGTCAGATTCCTACTTTATTCCTAACATCAAAGTAAATCCCAGTAGATCAACAATTCCAACATTAAAAAGAGAAGCTGTAAATTATTAGAGAAAATTCTGGGGAGAAGAGCTTATAACACCCAGAAGCAATCAGATAACAATCTAATCAATATATTTGATTACATAAAAACTTTTAAATTCTGCACAGAAAGAAAATAGTACAATCTCAAAAGACAAACAACAAACTAGGACAAAAGCTTATTTTCTTTAATACATAAAGATATTTTATGAATAAAAATATTGTATATTTTATGTAAACAAAATGGAAGAAAATGAACAAATGGCAAAAACAGGCAGTTAACTGGAAAAGAATTTAAAAATTTTAAATAAATGAAAGATGATTAACTTCATTTGTAATTAAATAAATTCATATTATAATAATAATGAGAATCAGTTCCTCACCTATCAGGTTGGCATACAGATCACAATGTTTGATAATACACTGTGGGTGATAATATGGAGAAAAAGGCACCATTTTGTAATATAGAAGTGATAAAGTTAGTGCAAACACTTTGGAGGATAGTTGTTATATTCATCCACACTGAAAATGCATATCTCACTTCATCCTGGAATTTTGTAAGTTGCACTTAACCTATAAGGACATATTCCTATTTTCTCACAAAGACAAATGTACAAAGACATACTAGAATACCCAGTTGGTGATGGAAGAAATTCCATTTGTCTTGTTTATTGCATTTTGTGTATTGCCATGCAACTCATAGGAGTTCAAAAATAATCATTGAATAAAGGAATGAACAGCATGCACGGGCACCATCGCCATTGGCTGATGACAGTTCCTATGTCCAAGAACAGAGGACTAGTAAATCAAATTGAATATAATAAATTCATACAGTGGAATAGTACACAGCCCACAGAAGAATAAGATATATGTACACATGCTGAAATAAGATGATATCTATGATAAACTAGGTAAAAAAGGCAAAACGTAAAACACATACATACGCTTGTGTGAACGTAGACTATATGGAAAGATAAACAGGAAACAGTTAACAGTACTCCCTCTGGGTAGACGGTGTGCCAACTAAGGATTCGAGCTGGGAACTGTTTTCCTTTAGAAAGGTAGTTTTAGGGGCCGGCCCCCTGACATAATGGTTAAAGTGTGTGCGCTCTGCTGCTGGTGGCCTGGGTTGGGATCCCTGGCACGCCTATGCATCACTTGTCAGGCCATGCCTTGGCTGTGTCCCATATAAAGTGGAAGAAGACGGGCACGGATGTTAGCCCAGGGCCGGTCTTCCTCAGCAAAAAAAGAGGCAGATTGGCATGGATGTTAGCTCAGGGCTGATCTTCCTCACAAAAAAAGCAAGTTACTTTTAGAAATTTACTTTGTACTCTTTACTATTTATGGATTTTTTTTTTACCATACCTACTCTATACTTTTTCAATTAAAAATTAGTTATCAGCAATTAAAAAACCTCATCTGAGACATGTTGGGATTCTGCCTCCCAGCTCACAGAGTGACACTGAGCCAGGCACTTGGAGAAACGGCTGGATCAGGTTCAATTGCTGGGTGCTTACTATGTGCTGGGCTCTGTGCTGAGTACATCGTGTTCTGTTAAATTGGTTAATGTTCAATCCTGGAAACCACCCAATGAGGTAGGCGTTCTCACCACTACTTAACAGATGAGGATGCTGAGGTCGAAGGGACAGAACTCAAGGTCGCATCCCTCTTTCTGATTCCTGTCTTCCCAACACCCCTTCTCTCAACCAGCTGTAACGTACCTGGAAACACAAAAGAACAGCCTCATCCCCGACCCTTCCACTCAAATACACTGTACTGCTTTGCTGTCTTGACACTTCAGTATTACTATCAATAATACTATTTTGCTAGAATTTGGCTTTAGACATTCAGTTTTACTGGCAATTTCATTTTCCCCGCCACATCTGCTCAAATGTGATCAATCTAGGCTTTCTACTTCTCAACTGTTACTTTGTTTTATATCACTGGCTTTCGCCACAGAGAGGAAAGGCATTTCCCCAAAACTTTACGGGTTCGGGGGACCCATCTCGGGCAGAGTTCCGCTGTCTGGGGTCAAATGGACCATCACTTCAGAGGGCTCCAGCTTTTTCTAGGTTTCCAGTTTCCATGACCCAGAGAAACTGGAAGGACCGGTGCCGGATTGCTGAGAACACCTGTAGCCACAGAGCCCGCGCCCAGTGCGTTAGGGGCGTGTTCCCATCAACGTCCGGCTTGAAACTTGGCCTTTCGCGGGGGTCTGGGCACAGCCACAGGGAGCCAGCCCAGTCCGCACGGTGGAGAGAGCAAGGAGGCACCTTACCCGCCAGGCCAGGTCGAGGTCGAAGTCCCGGGCGCGCAGGAACCGCAGCAAGAAGGAGTCGGTGAGCGGCAGCGGCGTCTCCGGGACGCCCTCCGCCCGCGCGCGTCGCCGCAGCTCCGCCAGGCTCGGCTGCAGCAGCGGCGAGTGGTCGGGCAGCGCGCTGAGCTGCAGCCCC